TGAGGTGGGTCTGGGAGGGGAGAAAGAAAGTCCAGCCTCTCTGGCCCTTGCTAACCACTACTTTCCTCCCCAGGGACCTTGGCCAAGAGCATTGGGACCTTCTCAGACCCCTGCAGGGACCACACGAGTATCACCTCCCCCAGTGACCCCTGTCTCCTGGGGAAGGGGAGCTCCAGCAGCTTCAGTAGCCGAAGTGGCTCCAGCAGTTCCAGCAGTTTCCTTTCGAGTTCCAGTGGCTCCCGTGGTGGCTCCAGTGGCGGCTCCAGCGGCGGCTCCAGCGGGTCCATTGCTACCCGGGGTCGTTCTTCAGGATTTCCGTTATTTAAGCCGGGAACGGGGTATTCGCAGATAAGCTACTCCTCTGGACCTAGCCCTGGTCTACAGGGTGCATCTAGTTCCTCCCAGTCAGGAAGCCTCAGCTCCCAGTCTGGAGGAGGCTCGAGCTCTTCTGTTTCCCAGACCTCCTCGATGTCCAGCAGCAGTGGCCATGAGGTCAACGCCAAGCTGAGTCCCTGTAGTTCCAACATCCCTGACTCTCCCTGCAGTGGGGGACCCATCGTCTCGCACTCTAGCCCCTACATCTCCAGCTCCCATTCTGTGTCTGGGGGTAAAATGCCTGTAGTGGTGGTGGTGGAGCAGCATGGCTCTGGTGGCCCCGGAGTGGGTCAAAGCGTCCCCTGTAGCAATGGTGGCCTTCCAGGGAAGCCCTGCCCCCCCATCACCTCTGTAGGCAAATATGGCAGCTATGAGGTGGTGGGTGGCTCCTCTGACAGTTATCTGGTCCCAGGCATGACCTACATCAGGGGCAAAATCTACCCGGTGGGCCACTTCATCAAAGAGCACCCCATCAAAGGCTCTCCAGGGGTTCCCTCCTTTGCAGCCGGGACCCCCATCTCTGAGGGCAAATACTTCTCCAGCATCCCCATCATCCCCAGCCACAGCTCTTCTAGTTCCAACATCTACCAGTCGGGAGCTTCCTCGGCCATTGTGTTCCAGCCGGTGGGCTCTGGTGGGGTCCTGCCCTATGGCGTTGGCTCCAAGGGCTCTAAGGAGCCCTGCTCCCTCTCTAGCTCTGGAGTCCACAGCAGCTCTAGCCTTTCCAGCAGTTCTGCTTCATCTTTCCAGCCCTGTGGTGGTGTTTCCCAGAGGCCCAGCTCCTCACCAGGCACTGGCTCCTTCAGTGGCAGCTCCAGCTCCCAATCCCATGGCAAAATCATCCTCCAACCCTGTGGCAGCAAGTCCAGCTCTTCTGGTCACTCTTGCATTTCTGTCTCCTCTTCAACATTGAGTAGGCGTCGAGCTGGCTCTTCCCAACATGACCCCTCAGCTGGTGCCAAGCCCTGTGGCTTTGGCAGCTCTGGAACGATCCCCTGCCACTCCATCCGGGACATCCTAACCCAAGTGAAACCCCTGGGGCCCCAGCTAGCTGACCCTGAAGTTCTCCTACCCCAGGGAGAGTTACCTAACAGTCCATAAAGCAGATTTTGCCTACACAGACGTGCAGGCACACACACACACACACACACACACACACACACACACACGCACCATCTCCCAGGTGGGAGAAGTCCAGGAGCCCAGCCATGGGGGTAGCTCAGTTTTCTTCCACCCTCCCAAGACAGCTGCTCTGCTTCCCCCGTTGTCCCAATGTGGCAGACTCTCCCTATCAGCTCTTCTTTCTTTACCTCCCCAAATTGTAGGCTCCAAATCCCTTTCCTCATTCTCTCCTACTGTTTAGATTCCCATTGTACTGCAGTGCCCTCCCTGCCAGATACCCTCTCCCTAGCATTTCCTCTGCCATTTCTTTGAGACAGTATAGTCCATTGGCTAATCCTACTCGTTCCGATTCTTGACTGGGAACCCCCTGAAATGTCCTACAGTAACTCTGATGCCTGGACAAGCCATCCCCTCCCCACCCCCCGCCCCCCCTTTGCCAAATAAAGCACAATCCAAACAGTTATTTGAAAACAGTGACCATTTTTCACTGATCTCATTTCACCATCTGGTCAACCAGCATGATATCCTGTTGGGTTCTCACACTCCCAATTCCACTCCCACGCTCCATTATAGAGCTCAGCACACCCTTTTTGAGTTCCCAACATTCCTCTTTGTCTCTCAAGGTCTCCATCTCAGTCCCCCTTCCTGGCTGCCACTTCCCTCAACGTTCAGAGGCTTCCCTGTGTGTAGGAGATACCAGGGTATCTGCAGAGACTGGAGCAGGCTCCCTGCTCTCTCTGGGTCCTGGACAGATGTCTCAATAAACTGTGTGAACTGGATTAGACTTTTTGCCTTCTTGGAGCCCTGGGTCTCCTCTTGGGACCTGAGTGATGCTCTCTTATGCCTCTAAAGGTCCTGTGTCCCCCACTTTCATTCATAAATTGGCCTGGTATTTCTTACATCTTACAGCTCCTCCCACAAAGGAGGAAAATCATAAATATTTGTTAAACTGAAAGCAGGGGTTAGTTGGTCTCCCAGATCCTTCCTCTCCATCTCTTCTCTCTCGTTGCCCCAGGAAATCCATTCTTGTTCCACTGCCCATTCACGCTGCAGTCCTCCCCTCTCCTTACATAGAGCCTTAATGATTTCCTCCCCCTCCCCACCTGACTCCTTCTCCTTATCCATTAGTTGGCCTCACCTTCAAGATGCCATCCTCTCTGGGAGTCCCGAGCATCGATTTCCTGGGTTTCTGGGACACCAGGAGCCTTGGGAAGGCTGGAACACAGCAGCCCGGACCACATTCCTGGGGACTGAGTAGGAGCTAAGGGGGGCGTGGTTCTGGGAGCTGCGGGTGGAGGAAGTGAAAGACAGAGAGGACAGGGGCATGACGGGTGTACAGCCGAGCAAGGTGACCCACTGACCTACATTGAAACGCCCCAGCCCATGACAGGACAGTGTCCTCCCCAGCAGTGTCCTCTCCACCTTCACACTCCTGCTGCCTCTGCTGTGGTTCTGGAGTGAGAGCTGGGAGAGGTGAGAGGGCTGAACACTACAGTGGGGAAGGGGAGGTGGCCTCCATGGGAGAAGATTGAAAAAGTAGACAGGTGCCAAGGGCCACGCGACTATGTTCTGGAGACAGCAGGGAAGACACTGAGGCCAAGGAAGCTCTCATGCCCCAAGGAGGGGAGGGTGGGCTGTGCTCACCCTTACAGGAAGAGCCTCACCCCAAAGCACAGGCCACCTCTCAGAGCCTCTGCTTGGCTGCAAAGGAATTCACCCCCACCTTAGGATCTAGCTCATTCCCTCCTATAGGGATGATGTCAGCTGGCCCCAAATCTAGGACTGTTGTTGAATTCTCGAATCAGCAGAAATATGTTTTGTTGATCAGAAATGACCTGGGGCAGCTGAGCCAACCTGCAGGGTTGACTGAAGACAGAGGAGGGCTCCAGAACAGTCCCATTTCTGTCATCACTGTGGGGTCACCCTTGGTTACCATGTGCCCCCTGGACTGCAGCCAATGACAGGAATCAAGGCCCTCAGAGGCTCTGTGGACCACAATTGTGGGAGGGACGCAGCCTCTGACACGAGTATTCCTCTAGTTTCTGGTGTGATCCAGGTCAAAATGTTTTGCAAAGCTGTTGGATGTCACCCCAAAAGGCTGCTGCCCTGTACCCACTGGCCAGATCTGCACTCTTTTTAAAAAAGTTTTTATTGGAGTATATGTTGTCCACTGGCCAGATCTGGAGGAGCTCTTTACCCTTCCAGTAGCCAGCTAGCAGGGGCTGGGGATGAGGATGGAATGGTAAAACCTAACAGCTAATATTTAAACTTCATGCAACAAGAGAAGCCTAGTCTGGGTGCGTCTTGGAAGCAATAGAGAAACAAAGGCGTTTAAACACTTTTTATAGGAAAAATTCAAACATATTTAAGAGTAGACAAAATACTTAATGAATCCCTATGCTCTCATCAATCAGCCTTAATAATGATCAGCTCATGGCTATTTGACATGTCAATGCCCTCCTTCTACTTAGTTGGAAACATCTGCTCTCTCTCTCTCTCTCTGTATCTCTTGTATATTCTGTGGACACATTTGACCATCTAAGGTAGGCAGACTTGTGCCCTCCCCATGACCAGAGATGTCCACGTCCTGATGCCTGGAAACTGAATATGTGAGGTTACATAACAAAGGGAAACTGTTTGCAGATGGAATTACGGTTGTTAGTTAGATGACCTTAAAGTAGAAAGATTATATGGGATTATTTGGGTGAGTCCGAGGTAATCATAAGGGTCTTTAAATATGGGAGAGGGAAGAAGGGGAGGTCAGACTGATGCCACGTGAGAAGATCCTGCTGTTTCTGGCTTTGAACATGGAGGAAGGGGACCATGAGCCGAGGAATTCAGGTGGCCTCTGGAAGCTGGAAGATGCAGAAAGGCTCTACCAACACCTCAATTTTAACTCAGTGAGACCCATGTCAGACTTCTACTCTTCAAAATTGTAAGATAGTAAATTTGTGTTGTTGTAAGCCATTAAGTTTGTGGTTACTTGCTATAGCAGCCATAGCAAACCAATACACCATCATCTCTTAAGGATGGGAACCAGGTCTATTTCCCTAGACACAGGGTCTCATCTAGGAGCAGCCCCTCAGAAGGGGGCCACTTCTGCACCCCAGAACCTCCTGCAGGTTGAGGTCAAGATGATGTAGCTATGGGGATGCACGAGAAAGGGGTGCTGGAAGAGAATGGTATGGATCCCAAAGAGAAACAGAATCAGGTGTTTCTATTGCTGAGAAGTCAGTGAAGAGATTGGGACCCCAAGGGTGAAGGTCCTCATGTGCCTGGTGTCAGCAGCCAGGAAGGGTAGGGCTGGCAACGAGTGATGAGCTGTGAGCCAGGACACCTGGGTTAGGAAGGGGTGGGGAGCTTGAGGAGAGGAGCAGGGTGGGAACACCCAGCTTCCCTGAGTCATTCAAGTGACATCTGTTGCCACAGAATGAATTAGGAACGAGGGTGGAACGTAGAGCTATATTGTTTCCACAACCACTGGCTCAGCCTGTTTCTGATGTCCCCCACCCACTAACAGGATAAAGGGCTGGCTGTCTTGAGGCTGAGGGAGATGCAGAGCGAGATGCAGGGCCATGTCGCAGGGAGCCGGGCTCCTCTGGGCCTGCTCCTGGTCTGTCTTCATCTCCCAGGTATGGAGGCTGTGGCAACCTTTGGGCAGGAGCGGACTGGTGGTCCTCGGGGAACTGGGACTGAGGGAAGAGGTAAAGGTGGGAGTGTGTACAGTTGGGTCCCTGAGGGAGGAAAGAGTTGGCACAGGCAAAGTGGAGGGACTTGAAGCAAAGGGAATCAGGGAGTCAGGGAAGGGAGGGCACTGAGACTAAATATCTGGTCCACTGGCTGCCTCCTCTTCCCCTTCCCTCAGGCCTCTTTGCCCGGAGCATCGGTGTGCTGGAGGAGAAATTTCCCCAAGACTTGGGGATCAACCTGCCTCTGCTTGAACGACCTTCCTTGACCAGCCCCTCCAACTTGGAACATCCTCAGCCCAAACCAGACCCTGAGCCTAATTCGGCAAGGGCTCCTCTGGAGCCCAATGCTTCTCCATCACCTGGCTCTCAACCTGCAGGAGGTGCTGGGGTACAGATGTGGCCCCCATCTGGGGAGCTGCCCTACATGGATTCCTGGTCCTCGGAGGACCCTTGGCCGATGATGCCTGCTGTGTTCGAGGACTATGTGGGAGAAGAGCTGCCTGAAGAACCGTCCTACTTTTCTAGTGAGGCTGCCCTCCCTCCGGGCAGTGGGCCTTTTCTTGCAGAGCCCTTTGCATACCCCGCGGGCCCCTCACCCGAGGCTTCACTCCTCCCCCAGGACTCTGAGTCTAGAGGGCCACTCCACTCTACTGTGCTGGACGTCCCGAGAAAAATCCTTGCCCGACCCCGTCCCGGGTCTCTCCTCAATGGGATTCCATGGTCACTTCTGCCTGGTTCCCCCTGGGGGGCCCTGAGTCCCCGTGTACCCTGGGGAGGTGGAGGTCCTGGCACTGGATGGAGACCCTTTTACCCTGTGGGAAACTGGGGTAACATTAATCCATACCCAAGTACTAGCTGGGGGTATCCAGGTGCCAGATGGAAGACTATTAATTGGTATCCAGGTACTAGCAGGAAGAATATTTATCTACACCCAGGCAATAATCAATTTCCTCCCAGAGTTCTCCGTGCTCCTGGCTCTTATAGGAGCATCCCAGACAGCTTTCCCAATCCTCAAAACCCTGAGTCATAATGGAGTTAGGAGAATGACAGAGCGGGGGCAGCCCTAAGTTAGAAGTCAGAGAGGGGAGTCCTGCTCCCTCCCCTTGCAGTATGAGCTAAATCAAGATCCTATCAGCTGTTTTCTAGCGTCCTCTCCACTTTCACTGCCTCCCTGCTCCCCATATGCTGATCTCCAATAAAACACAGCACTTACTGAATCCGCTTCTTGTCAGTGTCTTTGTTTCTGGGTGCAAACTGGAGTTTTGTCCATCCCCATTTTCTAGTCATCCTCATGTCCCTCTAGGGTCCTCCTGACACTCTCTTGCTATCCCCATCCTTTGCAAAAGATCAAAGCCCAGGTGTTTGAGGGTGGGGCCTTGTGGTCTCATCTGCGCCAAGTGGGAGAGCTGGTTCTAGAATAGTCCTGGAATCTGAAAAGGGGAGGAGGGGCAGCAGGACTAACTGAGGTGGCACCTGTGGCAGGAGGCAAGGATGAGGTCCAGGAGGTTGGTACCAGGACCAAGTGGGGAATGAATAGTCTTTGATTCAGAGACACAGAGGGTCAGAGAGAGTCATTTTTGTCTATGCTTACCTTTTCTTCCCAGAAAGTTATGGTTCTTGGAAGTGGAAGAGGCATTGATCTCCCTTACACGCATCACTTGGTACACTGTGCCCCAGAGAACCACAGACTTTGGGCATTTGCTGAACAAATAGCAGACCTCAATAGAGGAAGAAAGGAAAGGGAGAAGGGACAGGGAGAGAGAAACTTGGAGCCAACAGTCCTGCCTATGGCTGCATTTGATGCTTTTATTCTCAAGTGATGACACAGTCTCTTCTTTTGGTCACACTACCCTCCCTTTGGTTTTCCCAGGAGCTCAGTATCCTTGTACAGGAGTTGGAGTGGGGTGAGGAAGGGTCATTCTAAGAAAGTGCAGAAGGAAGTTAACAGAAGCTGGTGGGGGTGATGGGGTTTCCAGGGGGCACACTTCTGGTGTCCACCCATGTCTTCCCATCACCAGTCACACCACCCTCTATCACCCCAACCTCCTCCCCCAGTTCTTTCCCACCCTGGACTCTCACTTTCTCCCTGTCCTGGGGCAGGCAGTTCTGTTTTCAGCACCTGTCCCTTCCACAAGCCCAAGCTCATTCTCAGGCTTGGTCTCATTTCTGTCTGTCCCTCTTTCTGGCTGCCTCCCTCTCACTCCTATTTGCACTTTTAAATTCTGTGTCAGCACTCCCCTCCTCTGTTCCCCACAAGCACCACGGGAAAGGGACTTTGCTTGTTCACTGCGGAACTCCCAGCACCACGGACAGCGTCTGGACCAAGGTCAGCACTCAGCAAACACTGAGTCAACGCACTCGCACTCTCTCTCTGACTCCCTTGTTTTCTCTCTTCTTCCACTTTATTCCTGAGCCACAGGGCTGCACACAGACTCCCATCTGTACTGCTACCATACCCTTCCCAGAGCCTCACTGACATCTCCCTAGAAACCCCACAAAACCCTTCCTAGCTTGGGAATGCTCCAAGAATTCCATTCTTTCACCTTCATTAACAACTGTGAGGAAGAGGTTGTAAGATAAAGAAACTGAAGCTCAGAGAGATTAAGCAATTTACACAAGGTGACATAGCTAACACGTGACAGAGTCAGTGACTCAAACCAAATTTTTCTATGTGTCCAGGGAGTGTTCAAGTATATTATGCAATTAACAAAAACCCATCTAATTTTTATTGAGTACTTGCTATGTGCCAGACTCTGGACGAGTTGCTTTCACAACACCCTTCCAGCTAATTGCCACAACAATCCCATTGTGTAGGCACTGCTGGGCCCATTATACAGGTGGAGATACTGAGGCCCAGAGAGGGAGGTGAGCCAAGGCTGACAGAGGTAACACTGAGCCGGGGGAGTGCAGTTCATCCACTACTCGCTGCTGATGGATGGTCCCGGGTAGCCGTGGTCAGCTTTGTCGGACTGGTCTTTGCTTTAGGGCTAGTTGTTGCTATTAAAAAAAAAAAAAAGTGAGATTGGTCAGTAATCTGTGATATAATAAATGTCCTAAGGTCTGCAGTGGGAGCTGCTGCTCATATACAGATTTTTACATTTTTATTAGTGGTTAATTGGTGGAAGTAGCTGCTGGAGTAGCAGGAGTCATTTCTTGAAGGTTCTACAGTAGAGAGAGCACTTGGCTGGAAGTTGGAAGACAAGGTTCCCCTTCCATGTGCCCACACAGCTCTCTCTGCTGTGACAATTTGGGCTGGTCATTTGCCTCTACAGACCTTAGTTTTCTCATCTGTAAAATGGGATGACAGCAGATGTCCAATCTACCTCGCAGGATTGTTATGAAACTTAATTAAGATAATGATAGGACTTCCCTGGTGGTGCAGTGGTTAAGACTCTGCGGTCCCAATGCAGGGGGCCCAGGTTCGTTCCCTGGTCAGGAAACTAGATCCCACATGCATGCCACAACTAAGACTGGGCCACAACCAAATAAAAAAAAAATAAATGATAATAAATAAATAAATATTAAAAAAAAGGTAATGATAAAGTGCATTAGAGACTGAAAAATGGAGCAGGTGTAAGGGCCTGATTATAATGCAAAATGTTGTCTCAGTGAGGCAGTCCTGGTGGCATCTCAGAGAAGGAGAGTTCTCAGCCCACAGTGGGCTGGTCAGGGTAGTGGCCGTAGTTGACTTCACGGTTGACTGTTGAGTGTGGTGTGATGCTTCCCCCTGGGAATTACACTCAAGAGAATTATTCCAAGATCAAGAAGGGAGAGTTGGCTCCTCCTTGAACTATTTCATTCCTCAAACAAACTTGTGTTCTCTCAGACGTTTTTCACTTACACACACACTCTCGGGTGATTGTAATAATGGCGTCCTTTATCACATATTTACCATGAACAAAATGTGTTACAGGGTTATCTCAACTCTCACAACAATTCTAGGATGTACTTACTCTGATTATTTCTATTTTACAGGTGAAGAGACTGAGGCTCAGCAAGGTTAGGTAACTTGCTGAAGGTCACACAGCCAGTAAGAGGTGGAGCTTGGGTATGGTACCACTTGGAAACCACAAGCAAAGTTGGGCAAACTGCACAGAGCAGGTGAAAGCAAGATTCTCCAGCCCCTACAGTTTAATCACCACCTGGAGTCCTTCCTCCGACACGTCCATTTTCAGCCATTTTCATGTCATCTGAAGACCAGCAGCCAGACTGTGCTTTTGTCTCTCCAGACCAAATGCCTGCCTCTTGTGTTCCTCTCATTCCACTGGAAGGATGTCCCCTATTGCCTTTTTATACCTCTTTCTTTCTTTCTTTTCTTTTTTTTTTTTTCATTGTTTGGCAGCTCACAGGATCTTAGTTCCTCAACCAGGGATAGAACCCGCCCCTTTGGCAATGAAAGCATCGAATCCTAACCACAGGACCACCAGGGGACTCCCTCTACCTCTTTCTAGGTCTGCTTTCTCCCTTTGCTGTCAGGAAACTGGTAACACATCAGGAAGACACTTTTATGAGCCCAGATTGTCACACGTGAGAGTGAGCACACCAGCCCTCGGAAAGATTGGTCACATGCCAGGGTTTCTAGTTCTGTCCACTCACAGAATATCCTGGTCAAGGAGGCCTGTACAGTCCAGGGGAGGGATAGTGGGAGGAGAATAGGTGTTTCAGGTCTTAGAGGCATGGTCGTGGCCAGGGTAGGAAGGACGGTTTTCACATTCTCAGTAGCAATGACTGTTCGGGGTTGTTATTGTCCCCACAGAGATCAGTGGGGTGGATATGGCTTATCCTGAGGTGGTAGTAAAGTTGGTGCTATACCTGCTGTTTGGTTTAAAGCAGTGGGCTAGGGGCTTCCCTGGTGGCGCAGTGCTTGAGAATCCGCCTGCCAAAGCAGGGGACATGGGTTCGATCCCTGGTCCGGGAAGATCCCACATGTCGTGGAGCAACTAAGCCCGTGCACCACAACTACTGAGCCTGCGCTCTAGAGCCCATGAGCCACAACTGCTGAGCCCGTACGCCACAACTACTGAAGCTCGCGCGCCTAGAGCCCATACTCCGCAACAAGAGAAGCCACCGCAATAAGAAGCCCACCCACCGCAAAGAAGAGTAGCCCCCGCGCACCGTAACTAGAGAAAGCCCACGCGCAGCAAGGAAGACCCAACGTAGCCAAAAAGAAATAAATTTATAAAAAAAATAAATAAATAAAGCAGTGGGCTAGGTTGACGTGAAATAATTTCTTGTCTAATAGGGTCTCCAGTTAGGCAAGCCCCACTGTGGAAAGGTGGTAGAAACAAGTTGTGAACTAGTTTTGAGACCATTTAATCTTTCTTGGCCTCAGGAAGGCAGTTATGACTGATTGAGCGGAAGCCGTTTTCTTTGGCATGTTTCTCAGTGTTCCTCTGTCTCCTCTCTATGTACCTTTTTGCGGTGCTTAACTGCTCCCTGGCTACCCAGGACAATCCATCAGGATTCCCCTCTGGCTGGTCTGACCATTCATCCCATGCACTGGACTTTCCCCCTTGCCTCACCCCCATCAAAACCCACCTCTCCTGTACCCCACTTCTTTGGGGCTCTCTGTTCACTGTGACATTGTAAGATGCTGAATTCAGAAGAACTGACTCTGTTAGTGATGAACAGGGGCGAAGATGATGAGCCTAGAAAGATAAAACCAATCTACTATGTTAGTGGGCCCTTAATTATCTGACCCCAGCCTCCCCTCCTGGAACACACCGCCATTGTCTAAAGGACTTTAAGGCATTTCTGTGTAATGTAAAGTTTATCACCCTTACGAATTTGTTAAACAATTAACATTTAAGCACAAAACAACCTTCCTCTGCATACTAGTTACATAACTACTACCTCAAAACTTACAGATTTAATAAACCAAATTTTATTCAAACATTGATATTGTTTCACACTTAAACCAATTTAAGCATTTAATTCAGATCTCAAGTCTGATGTGTGAGATTCTCTTAAATGTCTTAACCCCCCCAAGCAGCAAACAAACACAAAAGTTATTATAACATTTACAAAACCAATCACTTCACTTCCACTAAAAATCAGTTATGAAAGCCTCGTTCCATGGATTTAAGCTTCTTTCTTTTTTTTATTCCTTAAATTCTTTTTATTTTTTAAAAAACCCTTATTTTTTTCCCCGTTGCCATAATGCATTTTTATTTTTTAAACTTATTTCTTTATTATCCTTCTCTTTCCTCTTCTATTC